GTGTGTGTGTGTGTTTTGATTCTTTCAGAAGAATTATCTCCTCACAGCACACACAGCGCCAGCTAGATTCAGTCTGGCTCTCTTGCTGCTGTGGAAACAGGTCACGGGGGCGAGGGAAGGGTGCCGGAGCTCGGTCTGTGCCTGGCCTTGTTGAAGCAAAGGACCGGCCTCTCCTCCCAGAGCGGATTGAGGCGCTGCAAAGTTTTGACCGATGATGCTGTGCGTTGCACTTGTCCCGGTCTTTCTGGGATCAGCTGCTGATAAACAGTAGCCCGTTTTTTCTGTGGAGGGAAAACCTGGCAGTAACATGACGCTGAACGTGCGCACACCTGTGGACCGGAGCGCTTTCGAGCACCTGTTTGGGTCTCTGAAATGAAGGGAAACTGCAGTGGGTGTCAGGAAGTCCTCCAGATGTGTGGGACTTGGATCCCCATCATCCCCAGCCAGCATGGCCAGTGGCAAAAAAGTCCAAAACTACTGGAAGCCCTCAGGAGGGGGAAGGCTTTGTGATCTGAAAGCAGGCTCTCGCCCACAGGCAGGGACTTTGGGAGGAGAATCGGGTCGTTCAGAAGTTTTCTGATGCTGGGAAAACGGTTCCCTTGCTTTGCAACCTGGTGCCTCAGCAAAGCTCCCAAACGCGTGGGCTTGCGGCCAGAGCCCCTTCTCCACCGCCATTTCCCCAGCGCAGCCCTTCGGGGCTTTCCCCCACAGCTCCACATGCAGATCGCTTGGCTGGGCCTCTCTTCCCGGTCGGTCGGTCGGAGGTCCGTGCAGAGGCTGGCGGCTGGGAGGGCCGTGTGTGCGCCCACTCCTCCCTTGCTCGCACTCTCCAGGTGCAGGTGTGGCCAGGAGGCCCGCGGGGCGGAAAATGTGTGCAGAAGGAGTGCTACTATTGCAGGGGCCCCTGTGGATGTCAGGAGGTGGCACCACGAACCTTGCCCCTTGTACCAGGCCGGGGGGGGAGGGGGGGAGAGAGGCCAGCCCTCGTGCCCCATGCCTGGTGCTTCTGGGAGCCCTGTGGCTGAGGAGCTGAAGCCCTTTCAGCCCAAGGACTGAATTCTGTTTCGGAGACGTCCTCCAGGGTCCCGTTCCAGGGGTGAACGGGGCAAAAGGCCAGCTGAGCCAGGCCATGCTTGCGCATCTGTTAGCGGAAGCCTCTTTCTGCCCACAGCCAAGGCTTGGCAGGGGAATTTCTGGCTTTTAAAACAACTGCACCAATGTGCGGAGAGGAAGCGTGGCCTCCAGGGGAGCCCAGAGGGCTGTTTGGCCTGGGCCTCAGTGAAATAAAGGGAGCAGGATCAGCATTTTCCTTCTCCCCCACCTTGTGTCCCATTAACCTTGAGGACCCACCCAGGGAACCTTTGGGCTGATGGGCAGGGTAGAAATAAAATAAAAAGATGGATGGATGAATGGATGGATGAATGAATGGCCGGCAATTCAGAATAGCCATTAATGGCAGCAATCGGCTAGAAAAGTATGGAAAATAAGATCGCATAAAGGGTTAGCCCATGATTGCCTTGAGAACAATCCCATATGCAAGGGGAGAGGGAGAGCAGGGAGAGGAAAAAGGAGCAGCACAACCATGAGCTAAAGTTCCCCTGTTCAAGTCTGTCCTACCCCCTTATCATACTATCCCTCAGAGGCATCTAGTAATGGTTTGTTGATTTTAAGTAATAATTTAAAGCATTGTTAATAATTAAAACAGGAAGTAATATCCTTGAGGTGCCTGAGAATGTAGACTTGCACCGTATCCTGTCCACAAAGGGCATCCTTATCATTGAGGTGGTCAAAGGGGCAAGTGCTATTATCCTTGATTGGTTATTCATATGTGCACAAGGGGCTGCTAACAGCCCCCCAGAGGCAATTTACCGTCCCTGAAATCCTCCTGAGAGCTGAATCTTTCTCAGGCCGATGACTTTCGCCTTGCTCATCATGGAGGTCTGAACAGCAACTCTCCCAGGTTCAAGAAAGTGCGCCTCCGAGCGCTGGGAGCATTGCTCATCCCCAGGAAAACGGTGCATCGTTTGCTCCTTGTTGGGTTCTGCCACTTGAGTCCCCTGTAAAAATCTTTGACACCATTCATATCGCATCCACTGGGGCTTAAAATCATCTCTCACCCCTGGTGTCCTCACCTCAAATTTGACAGTTCCCTTCAGGGAATCGGCTGGGTCTTCCCTATGGATGTGTCACGATGGGAGAGCCATCTCATTTAAGCCCTAACGGATTCCATGGTGTTCCCATTCTACTAAGCAGCAGCAAACCATAATGAGGATGTTTTTTTCTTATTCCAGAAAACTGTTGATCATTTTTCCAGGTTCTGCCACTTCTGCGAACTGTAACATGTGCTATCTATTCTCAGCTGGGGTGGGGTAGAGTGGAATCGTGAGCTGGCCAATTTCATCCTCCACTTTGCCATTTGCAGTTCAAAGTGGCGGTGAGGGGACTGACTGGTTCCTTCACGAGTCCAGGATATAGTTCTGCTGGGTTAGAGGAGGCAGTGTGCAGAGCGGAGGAAAGGGACGGGGGTTTTTACAAGCAGGGGAAATGCCTCTGCAGGGCTAAATGGTGAACAGGTAGGCTCTTGTGCAAGGTCACCGATCAAAATTTTAAAAATCAGCACCATTTGTGCACACAGAAAGATCCCCCCCTCCAGCTTCTGCAAATGGCTGCTGTTAAAAAACAGCAAGAGCGAGCAAGCACGAGTCAGTGTACTGGCTTGGCTCATGACATAGTGCGTTGACACCAGCGCTGGAGCAGAAACAGAAGAGAGCCTGTTGGGCCAAATGGGAAAAGTCCATCATGCTTCCACTGGCCAAGCAGGATGCCCATTCATGTTCATTTATGAACTCTCACAGCATGGATGGAATGTGGGGATGTGCCATTCGGTCATGTGCAGCTGGCCATGGCTGCTGGTCCTTCATGATCAGAGGAAGGACATCTGGGCACACCCGTTGCTGGGGAGTATGGGCCGGAGGGGCGGCTGCACTCCTGTCCTGCTTGTGGGGTTCGCTGGGACACGGTGTGCGCAGACTGTTGGGCTAGATGGACCGCTGGTGTGATCCCGCACAGCTGTGCTCCCTGTCAGTCAGTCAGTCAGTCAGTTCTTCGGTTACTCTGCTGCCCACTAGCCACAGACCCGCGGGGCGGCTTCCTCCTGCTCCGCCTGCCAGCAGCTCTCCGAAGCCTCTGGGGGGAAGGGCCATTCCCTCACCGCTACCTGGCCCTCTTTCACAAGACACGCCAAGGAGCACAAGTGGCACTTCAGCATGCAGACCCTGTTCTTCAGGGCTGCGCCCGCTCTCGTTGAGACCCTGCCCATGGGGCTGCACTGAAACTCCCACCATCCCTCAGCATGGACTATCTGACCAGGGCTGACGGGCGCTGTAGTCCAACAACATGTAGAGGAGCACACCCCCCCTAGCTTGGCCGCACTGGGAGTTCATTGCTCATGGGAGAGGGAGACACATCGCCGAGGCAACCGAAAGCCAGGGACCAGTACAGGTCACGGGTTTTGCTGCTACGGCGAGCACCCTGGGAATAGGGCTCCTCCAGGGCCATCAGGAGCAGGGGCAGCCCCACGAGGTGGTATGCAGCCAGGTGAGCCCGAAACTTCGGTTCAGTTCTTCCAGGGGTGGAGGGCTCGTTCTGTGGGCTCGGCAACACAACTAGGATGGCAACCAATCTAAACTGCTTTTGGTGAAACCGGAATGGATGAAGGCAGTTTCCGTTTTGTCCTGACGTTACTATTAGCAAATACGATACCTGCCTTGCCTTCTGCTTGGCAAGGGAGACCCTTCTGCAGCCCCAGGGCAGTCTGGTGCATCCCGTGACCTCCAAGTGTGTTGCACTGCAGCCCCATCATCTCATGACCAGCGGCCGATGAGCGCCACGCTGGGGAGGGCTGCAGCCTGAAGCAGTCCAGCCCAACCATGGCTTGACCTCTTCCGTTAGAAGGAGGCCTTGATCGCATCGCTTTGTGAGCCAAGCCCTGAAGCAGGACTTCAGGAGTTGCTTTACCCACGACGATGGTGCAAAACACAAGCGCCGCGTCCGGTGAAAGGTCCCACGTAAACACCGCGCTAGTCCTGCGCCTGCCCCTCCACCCACTCCGCACGAGAGCATTTCGCTTCTGTCGGACGTTGCCCTGGGTGCCCCGGGGAGCCGGGTAGACGGGGCGGCGCAGAGCCGATGCAGGGATCCGGAAGAATTGGGAGGAGCTGCCACCTGGGGCAGCAGCCTCCTCTTCCTCATGGGAGGGGCGGCTGCATTCCATTTCCCACGGGGGGGGGGGTCCTGATGCCACTGGGAAGGCTGTGAGCTGGATGGAAGGCCGCGGCAGTCCACGGTGCCGCTCCTCAGCAGAAGGGCCGGCCCAAGTCGTGCTGCTGCCTGAGGCAAAGGCTGGGAGGACAGCTGAAAGAGCAGCGCTCCAGGCTGCCCACCCTCTGGCTGCAGCGTCCACCCCACCCCTCTTCCCCCCCCCCCCCCCGAAGCAGTGCACTGGCGTGGGGAGCACGGGGCGTCACGCCTCCTCCGTCACGTTCCTGCTGCCTCCCAGCATCTCTGGCCTGGGGCAGCCACTTCCCTGTGCTTCCCGTGGATGGTCGGGCCGGCCCTGCCTAGCCCCAGACGATTCAGTGGCACGCCGTGCCTGATTATGGAGACAGCCGTAGCCACCATGGCCAGTCACAATGGGTGGCCGTTGCCTCCATGAATGTTGTCCAGTCGCCTTTTGAAGCCAGGAGCTGCACGTTTGAGCCTTTGGAACTGACGCGAGTTCAGACCTACCTTCAGACTCGATGCTGCCCATGTCCCATTGCTTCCCAGGGAGTCATGGGAAATAAAGCACGGCCTTTTCTCCTTCCTTCTTTGGCAACTCTCACTGCAGAAGTGCAACAGAGCGGGGGTGTGGGGGTGTGGCAAACTGCATGGAGGAACTACCCGTACCTCAAGAGCATCTGGCTCAGGTTGCTTCCCTGCGTCTCTTCTTCCTCTTTCAGAGAGTAGTCCTGAGCCTCAGTGGTTTAGCATGGAGGAGCAGCCAGCGCAGGAGTCTCTGTCCCGGGACCCCCCATCCATCAACACGGGGGACCCAGAGCTCTTCGGCTATGTGGGGATTGAAGCGGTGCTGGACCAGATGCGGATCAAGACCATGAAGGCTGGCTTCGAGTTCAACATCATGGTTGTAGGTGAGCACAGACACCCTCCCCTGAGCGCCTCGTGTTTGGACCAGCACAAGGGCGTGGGGCCCTCTGAGAGCCCCACAGGCCAAGGCCAGCCATTTCAGAACCCCCAAATGTTCCCCAGAGGGTCCTACCCACTGGCCCCCACCACTGATCATGTGGCCGTTTCCCAGCACTTCTGCAGGTCCCTCTCCCATTTTGCAGCTCTCCTCTAAGTGGCAGGAGAAGCTTTTTGCTCAGGTGTGCTGGCGGGTTTGGCCCACCGCTTGACTCCAACCTGCCGCTTTTGCATTCTCTCCCTTCTGCCCTGGAAGGCTGCCTGGCGCTGGTTCAGTCCTCTGCCTGACTCGCGACAAGGAGGCACAAAACCCAGACCCTCGGCCGTACCAGGCGGAGGAAGAAGCAAGACCTCGTTCCCAGAGGAAGGCTGGCTGGGCTCACGTCTGCCCAGGAAGGCCTCCTTCCCTCCCCACCCGCCACACCCCTAGTGCGCATGGCCCAGCAGACTCTCCCTCTGTGGGCACTGACTGGGCTTTGCATCTGCGAGGGGCACGTCCATTGGTTGTCCTAGAGCTGAGCCCTGGTGTGGAAAACAGCTGGGGCTACGCTCTGGCAAGCCTGACCCTGGGGAGGGGTCAAGGAGTGGTCAAGTGCTAATAGTGACCGAGCGGGTGAGCACAGGTGTGGCTGAGCACAGGTGGACTGACTATCTTGGCAGGCCTAAGGGCCTAGCGTGGGCCTGTGGTTGTTCGGTAAAAGTGCCTATCGTTTGGGTGCTCGCCAAGATCATGGCAAGCATTGCCTGATGCTGGGCAGAAAGGATTCCTCGAATCCTTGGAAGCTTTCCGAGTCCTGCATTGGTTATGAGCCAGAAGAGTTGATTTGCTGCCATTTCTGCTGGAAAGGAGGCAGTGAGCAGGGGAAGCAAGATGGCTCCTCTTCCCTCTGCCCAGGTCACTTTGCCTTCTACGCACTTCCCCACTCGATCCATTGACCCTGTTGGATTCTTCGTCCTTGAAAGAGCAGCTAGGCAAAGGGCTGACTGAAGCTGAGATGCTTGAAAGGACAGGTAGAGCAAAGACCAACGTGTAGGGAAAGCTGGTTGAAGGATAAGAAAGGACGAGGGAAGTGAGCTCTTTAGCTACTTGGCCAGGGGCTGCCTAACTTTTTGCTCCAGGTTCCAGGCCCCGAGGAAGCATCAAGGCCCACATGCGTCCATGTGTGTCCAGGCCCATGCAGATGCAGCCATCTCCAAATTCAAACTGGAACCACATCTTACTCTCAGGTGAAGGAAGATCCACCTGTAATTTCCCATCAGCTGTCAGAATCAGGGATGTACAAGAATTCTGTTTCCTGTACATCACAACCTGCCCTGCTTACAGCCATAAAACATGAGGACATTTCTCCAGTTGTACTGCTGCAAAGTGCACTTGTTACAAAAATGTGCGGGGGGAGCCTCCCATTCTCACACCTGAGTGAAGGGAGGAAGAATGCCTGGTGCTGTGTGCATTTTTGTCCAAATGGCAGCAGCAAACGCTGGCAATTGGCATAGGAATGAAGCCGCCTGAGCTTCAGCACAGAACTTGGAGAAGCCGAGCGCGCTCAAGCCACGCCGATGCTCTTCTCCCGCAGGCTGCAGAGCAAGCAGCCATTCTCTTTGGAACCAGGAAGCAGCCCAGCTTCAGTAGCAGAACTGCCTTTGCTGCTGAAGTGGAGATGCTTCCTGGCTTCCCCTGCAGCCGCCTGCTGCGTCGGGAGCTGGACCAGGTACCCCAGTGCAGAATCCCCACGTGCTGTTCCACGGGGGCACAGGGAAAGGAACCACATTTCCCCAGAAACCAAACATGATCCATGCGACTGCAGGGGAAGAGGGCCAGAAATGCACATCAGACTCCAGGGCTGGGGTGAATGCTTTCCGAGTCATCCCTCTAGAATCCATGGGCTTCCTCTCTTGCTCAGCCGGCTCCTCCACAGCGAGCAGGGCCAAGAGGGAGGCTGCCCGACGGGCAGTCTTCCACAGCACCCTGCCGGGCGGCCAGCCTTCTTCCCCATTTGCTGCTGCAGCAGGCCCAGAAGCACAGCGCCACTGGCGCAGAGCACGGGCTCGATTCCTGGCGAGTGCCCCATGCACGCCAGAGGTGCCGGCCGGGGGCTCTGACTGTGGGCCACTGCACATGGACTGGAGTCTGGGAAACCAAGCCCAGGAATCCAGCAGGTTTTCCGCCCAAGTGGATTTCTTGCCCGTGCCTAACCCCTGCCTTGTGCCACATGTTTGAAGGAGGCAGTGCGTAATTTGGGGGATGTGGAGCCAGGTTTCTCTTGCTCTCCTTACCTCTTTCTTTCTCTCCTCCCTTTCCTCCCTGTCTGCTCACAAATACACTTTAGGTTCATGTGGGTGGGATCCTTTTCAGCCCGGGCAACAAATTCATTTTCAGAGAAGCTTTTGGATGCCTTGGAGGGAGGCGGTGGGGGGGGGGTCACATTCCAGTTGCATGCAGGGCCAAAGACAAAAGGGGCAGAGGCATAAATACAAGATATACCAGCATATTTTAGTTTAAAATAAGTGTTAAGAGACTGGGGGGAAACGCACAGAAAAGGGGGAACCTCAAATGACTGGAGGTTGAGGGAAAAGAGACCCAGCACTGGCCATCTGGGCTCTCCCAAAGGTCTGGATGGAAATCCCAGGTGTGCCTGAAGGTTTGCACCCCTGTTTTAGGTAGGGGAAAGGAGCATGTCATGTGTTTTTAGTTTTGCCCTTAATGGTGCAATCTGGCCCACAGTTTGACAGATAAAAGCCCCTTGCCTGAGAAGGGCATGCCTGGAATTGTAGGAGGTTTTTTCTGTCTAAACATGCAAAGGATTGCTCTGATGATGTGGTTTTTCAATAATAATAATAATAATAATAATAATAATAATAATAATAATA